ATAAAAACGACAAGCTTAAAAGAAACCTTCAAGAATACACATCAAAGTTTCACTGAAACAACAAACAACAGAACACACCATAGCGCAGCTAGGCTAGACTGAATATACGCTCACGAAAGTATAAATGTAAACAAAGTATGCGACTAAAAAAAAGTCTGTTTTACCAGCCTGTAATAAAATGTCACTCTTGTTAATGAATTTTTTTTTTAAAAATTAGCAATGTCTAAAATGGTGAACCAACATCTTTAACCCCAACCTGCCCCCCCCCCCCCCCCACTTTAGTCGATGTCTTCCCCATGACATTACCCATTTTTCAACTTATTGTTCCTTCCCCTAGCTTAAATTCATTTTATTAATTCCCTGTGTGTAAATTGGTTTTGGTGTAAATCCTATAAACATATGTTACTACAGACAACTGCACTTACCAGCATCTTGATATTACTTGTTTTAATTGTAAATAAAAGTAGTAAAGAAAAGAAAAAGAAAAAAAGTATGTGACTAAAATCAAAATTATTTGACTGAATAAACAAAAACATAATCCCACCACCGTTATAAGTAATAAATATTCCATGATACCATTGTTCATAGATTGCGTAAATATCAAAATTACACAAACTCAAACATATCACATACAACTCTCAGTCAATCAGACATTTTACAGACTAATTGGAACATATCATCACTCAGTGTCTAAATCATAAAAAAACTGTTTTTTTAAATAAAAAGATAAAAGACATGAATCTATTAATAAGGGGTCCAAAAACCGACCAAAAAATAAACCAATGAATTTATTTATTCCAAAGTATTTCTTCAGTGTACATTGATAGTAATTTTGTAAAAAAAAAAAAAAAAAGTAAAGAGATCTCCTACATAAAGCGATTGTTGCGTAGGAAAATATATTTTAAAAACCTAAATGAGCTGTAGTGTGAAAGATATGTTAACGTTTAAATCACTTCAGTGTCTTGTTTTTAACCTTTAATAGGGTGACCGTAAAGCGTCTTTAAAATAGTTGTGTACTGAGCAAATGATAAAGCAAAAGCTTCTTGTTATTATTATGTAAATAAGGCATACTAAAGATAGAAATATGGAATGTTTTCAAAATTATTAATATAAATACAAATCAACACTATGAGACCGTATACACAGGAAACCTAAACACATAACAAGCTTCCGTATCTCTCCTGCTCATGGCAGGCTTGCCAGATTGGATGTTTCATTGTTCACTGTTTTCCTCAGGCATGATGTAAAATAAACTACCACAATTTTAAAACTCGATTACTTCCGGTGCTAGCAGTATTTGAACCCACGCTTTCAGGTCAAATTGTCACTGTCATAGATCCTCTTTTTAAAGGTTTCGACGAAATGAACTATGGGTTATATTGCAATTCGCTTCTAGAAAATATCTAAGCGTGTCCCCGGGTTAACTAAAAGAAAAGTTTAAATAGGGTCAAAACTAAAGACAGGGTTAGGGAGAGGACTTTGTTTAGCCTTAGGGTTTCTCTTTATTACTATACTAGACCTAGGGACGGCGTGGCCTAGTGGTGGAGCGCTAGACTGCTAACCCGATAGTTTCGAGTTCGAACCCAGGAAAGTAGTTAAGGAAAGTAAAGGCGGCTGGGCTTAGTACTGACCACATTAATCCCTTTATATACCGAGGTCAAGAAACATATGGACTCCTCTTCAAATGCCCAATGGGTCGTTAGGTCTAAAGAGGAATATTTACTTTTTTTGCAATCTTGTCCGTATGTCTGTGTGTCTGTCTGTGTGTCTGTGTGTCTGTCTGTGTGTAAACACGATAACTTGAGAACCGTTACAGCTAGGTTGATGAAATTTCATATATAAGTATTTTATCAAAATCGTAGATTCTGATCAACTTTTGAGTGATTTCCGATAACCGGAAGTGGTACTTTTTCTACTTTGAATTTTTCAAAAGCCTATAATTTGAGTAATATTTCAGATAGATAAATGAAATTTCACATGTAAGTAAAAATCGAATTCTCTACCTTCTGTCAAATTTTGAGTAATTTCCGTTGACCGGAAGTACTAATTTACGCTATTTCCGATAATTCAAAAAAAAAACGCATGTACATTTTTAAAGTACTAATAATATTGCGCACTATTATGCACATTTTGTTTTGGCGTTCGCTTGGTGCGCAATTCTTTTTTCTATGAGATTCTATTCTATTTTTAAAAGTTTAAGTAATTAAAAATCATGTCTATATTCCAAGTTATATAAGAATATTCGAGAAAGTTTAGGGGAGATCACTCCCGGTTTATTATACTTACTAGTCCTAGGACTACTAGCAAAAACGCAGCTTAAATTAGCCGGCGTTTTAATGATAAGGTTACCTCGAGAAAAAGCGCTCTATCGTTTAAAGAATGTCTATCGAGAACAATGACCAAATATTAGGCGAGAATTTCACCTGCCAAGGTTTATATGTCGGGAAAAAAATCGTCTATTACAGGAACATTTTTAGAAAATTTGCCGTTGATCTGTTTGATATCTTGTTGTGATCAGCGGTAGAGTCGGTAGAGAAACCGAAGCCCCTACTGTGTCGATGACAAGATCAGATACACCCCCGGGGGGGGGGGGGATAGTGGGGGGAGGGGGGTGAAAGAAATGATGGCTTTAAACAAATCGATCAACGTGCCGGCACCGATAGCTGGCATAATGGGGCGTTTAGCAGGGGGTCATGGAATGTGCTGGAGTCGAGAGGGTCGTGATAGGAGTGGGGGGGGGGGGGGTGTAGGGGGGTCTTGCGGAGGGGGTGGGGAGTGATGATGTACGATCCATTATGTGCTGTTTAAATACCCGGGTTGTGAGAGGTGTTGGTTAGCTGGTGGGATGTGGTTTAATAGCGGTTTATATGACGTGAGGAATTTTCGTGGTGGGGCGCAGGGTGTGTGTGTGTGGGGGGGGGGGGGGGGTAACATGATAATCGACTAGAGGTGTACAGAGGTAGGCTGTGTAATGTGGAGGAGTGAGAGGAGGGGGGGGGATAATAGAATCAACTAGATAGTAAGTGGCTGAGTTATAGGGGAGGGGAGCGTGTAATACAAGATAAATTACAAAGTTCGGGTTTGTGGGAAAGGTGGGGGTGGGGGAAATAATTAATATCAACGTTATTATTTGTCACAATTGTAAAACCTGAAAGAAAATTCGAGTGTATGATAATTTGATACATGGGTGGTATAAATGTGTGGTGAATATTTGTGTGTGGGATGGAATCTTGATATCAAACTACAGTCATTACAACACGGGGGGTGACCCGGGGGTTGTGTAGTGTGGGGGGATGGGATGTGGAGGGGGGGTGTCGTATACAATATCACCCACTCTGTAATAACCACCGTGCTTGTCAGGGCGCCCCGCTGGCTCCCACATTGACGCCCGCTCGTTTCAAGACGCGGACCGCCGAGATCAAAGCCCGCTCTTTGGATCCAGCCAGTCCCCACACAAGGGTTGACCCGGGTTGTACAGCCCTTAGAGGTATCGGCTGACAACCCTATCGGGTCACAGATTGATCGTGTATTACGTTTGTCTTTTATTTAATGCGGTTTACATTTCTTTTTAATATAACCATTTGAACTACATGCGTTTGTTTAAATAGATCTAAGACTAACTAGTTGTAAACATGTTTTGGTGAATTAGATTTTTTTAGTTTTGGTTTTTGGAAATTTTAAAAAAATAAATTAAATTACTTTCAATTACATTTTTTTATTAATTTTTTTAGTCGTGTATGCCTATGTAGAACAAGCGTACCGTTGAATTTTAATGTAAGGTTAAAAATATTTTCTTTTTGATCAATACAACTTGGGCGTTGTGTTTAAGCTCAATATTGGCGAGGTATTGGATGCTTTAAGCAATGTGGGGTTAGGGGAAAGGCGCTGGGAGGGGCAGAATTATGTCCAGTGTAGGGTGAAATCTATATTCAAACAGTTCTGTTTAAATTAGGTTTAGAAAAAAGGAAAACGAAAAGCTGAACAGTTTTTTAGTTTTTGAAATAGAATTTTATACAGACCAATATATACAGGTAACATGAGAAGAATATACACAACTGTACAGTTCACTTGCTCAACTCTGCTTCACCTACACACGGCGTACGTGAGTGGTGAGTATTTACATTTCTGACGTGTAGTAGGTGGCTGTTGTTACTTTCATCCTATCACAACGTGTTGCGTTGACTGGCTTCAAAACCACATCAACTCTTGGTCACATCACAACCACATCAACCATGAACCACACCACAACCACATCAACCAAATGGTCACATCGCAACCACATCAACTCTTGGCCACATCACAACCACATCAATCATGGGTCACCCTACAACCACATCAACTCTTAGTCACATCATAACCACATCAACCATGGGCCACAACACACCACAACCACATCAACAATGGGCCACACCACATCACAACCACATCAACTATGGGCCACACTACAACCACATCAACCATGGGCCACACCATACCACAACCACATCAACCCTGGACCACATCACAACCACATCAACCCTGGGTCACACCACAACCACATCATCCATGGGCCACACCACACCACATCAACCCTAGTTCACATCACAACATCCTCTATGATGGTTAACATGACAATCACATCATCACCGCTATACATTACATCAGCACTGATTCAAATCACAACCACAACAAATCTAGCTCACTTGACTAACATTTACACATATTACATCAAAATCAAAATTTGCTTACATCACAACGTCATCACTATTTTTACATCACATCATCAAACCTACATGCATGCATAGCATCAAAATCCCCCCTGACTACAATTTCACATCAACATCAAAATAATACTCACAACACATCAACATTGGATCAAATTTTACATAAAAAATAACTTAAACGCTCAAAAAAATGATTCATCAGATCTTTATCAACATGAACTTTCCCCATCACAATACCATCCTTGCATTAACAATGGTTTTAATCACAAAGATCCCATTCAAGAAATCACATGACAAATGACGCTTAATAGTCCACGCTTAGCACTTCGTCTAGGTTCATTTTATTCTGTATGTTATATAACGAACACTCTCTATGATATAAGGGACCCTGTCCATGCTATAAGGGACCCTGTCTTTGATACAAGGTATCCTGTCCATGATACAAAGGACCCTGTCTTTGATACAAAGGACCCTGTCTTTGATACAAAGGACCTTGTCCATGATACAAGGTACCCTGTCTTTGATATAAAGGACCCTGTCTTTGATACAAAGGACCCTGTCTTTGATACAAAGGACCCTGTCCATGATACAATGGACCCTGTCTTTGATACAAAGGACCCTGTCTTTGAAACAAGGTACCCTGTCTTTGATACAAAGGACCCTGTCTTTGAAACAAGGTACCCTGTCTTTGATACAAGGTACCCTGTCTTTCATACAAAGGACCCTGTCTTTGATACAATGGACCCTGTCTTTGATATAAAGGACCCTGTCCATGATATAAGGGACCCTGTCTTAGATACAAGGGACCCTGTCCACGATACAAGGGACGCTGTCTTTGATACAAAGGACCCTGTCTTTGATACAAATGACCCTATCCCTGATATAAAGGATCCTGTCCATGATACAAGGGACCCTGTCCATGATATAAGGGACTCTGTCCATGATATAAGGGACCCTGTACATGATACAAGGGACCCTGTCCATGATATAAAGGACCCTGTCCATGATACAAGGAGCACTGTGTTGCAAAGGGGCACTGTCTATGTAACCTGGGACACAGTCTATGATACAAAGGGCACTGTATGTAAACTCGGGGCACTGTTCATTGGAGCAATGCGTATTTCCCAATGCGTACTTGAGTACACCACCACTGAATAAATGTACGCGAGTCTCTTTATAGTTGCGTACACAGATGCTGTCAAAGTACATGTACAAGAACAACGTCAAGCGCTAAAGTCACGTGGTGAGCTGCAAGTTCAAGGCCGTTGGCGTTTCCTCCGTTGGTTGACTTCCGGGTTGATCTGAAAGGGAGTCTGCGGGCGAGTGGTCTCCCTTATTGTACAAGCTTACGGGTGAGTGATCTCCCTTATTGTACAATAATGGTGAGTGATCTCCCTTATTGTACAAGCTTACGGGCGAGTGGTCTCCCTTACTGCCCGAGTCACCAGGTGAGTGATGTCCCCTATTGTAACCGTCAGCGGACGAATTATCTCCTCTATGGTGTGGGTTGACAGGCGAGTGATCTCCCTTACTGCCCGGGTTGGTGGGCGTGTGGGCGGAGCAGACCGAGTCAGCCAAAACCTCTGTAGAGCTTCGTCTCTTTGGCTGGTCGAAATGTCCAGGAGATGGACCGGATGACCCATGGCTGCGTGGGCGGTTAGATGACCCGTGGCTATTTGGTCCGTGGCTATTTGGTCCGTGGCTATTTGGTCCGTGGCTATTTGGCCCGTGGCTATTTAGTCGATCAGATGGGCCATGGGTATTTAGTCGATCAGATGGGCCATGACTATTTAGTCGATCAGTTGGCCCATGGCTATTTAGTTGATCAGTTGGTCCGTGATTATTTAGTCGATCAGTTGGTCCATGGGTGTTTAGTCGATCAGATGGGCCATGACTATTTAGTCGATCAGATGGGCCATGGGTATTTAGTCGATCAGTTGGTCCGTGACTATTTAGTCGATCAGATGACCCATGAATATTAAGTCGATCCGTTGACCTATTGCTAATTAGCCGATCATTGGACACATGGCTAATTAACTGACCAGATGACCCATGACTAATTAACTGACCAGAGAAGCCAAGACTGCTCGACTGTCTACCCATCCCAGACAGAACCTCAAAACCTCGACCGGAAGTCACTCTCGCCATTTTGCTCGGCGGAGAGTCCGTCAAAGAAGGAAGAACTCTTTTACCTCGTATGGAATCGTCATCGAAATGAGCACTTTCCTGGAATCGATTCCCTTCGGGTGAGATCTTCTGATTTCCACAAGTATCGAATACATTTCTTCTTCCGTTATCGATACCGTTTGTGTTTTTTAAGTTTGATTCACTCGAAGTTCCAGAATGTTCTTCAGCACAGTTGTTCTGAGCCCAGGGTGATGTTTTCGAGACGTTTACTAACTTCGACTCTGTGAGATACGGATGCGCGACCGACGAGTGGGGAAGAAACGGAAATTGCTGAAAAGGCGCGGACGTCACGGGAGACTGAAAATTTGGGAAGGTTAAAAAACACGACCCGTTGATACCCGGGGGTGTTTTGGTGAGGTGGGGCGGCGGGAGGCTGGGGTGTTTCCTCGAAGGGGGCGACGCCGCTGTTTTGTATTTGTGCCGGTCTGCTGGGGATGTTGGCCGGATAATCTCCGAGATGGACCAGATTTTGGGTTTGGTTTTAGAGCTGTTGCCGGATTGGCTTTCTGTAGTTTTAGAACTGCTGCCGGATTGGCTGTCTGAACCGGAAGTCTCAACGTTGGTTGTTGCTCCTGGGCGCTCGTTTGTCGCGGCGACATCTGGTCCCGTTTTCTCAGGGCGTCTCTCTATGGTACCTGCGCCTGGCTGGGGTTCAAACCCACGCATGCGCAGATCAGTCGGGAACCCCGGATGCTGTTCGTACGACCAGAGTTTGTTCTGAGGATGCTGGCCGCCCAGGGCGGGGTAGATCTGGACGCTGTTGGGGTCAAGGTTGCTGTCGCAGTCGCCATCTTCCTCCGTGCAGTCCGAGTCGTCGACGTTGATATCTTCATTGTCGCTGTCATCGTTCCCTTTCTTACTCGGGTCTACGATGAGAGGAAACAAAAATGTATAATATATTTTGAAAATACCCTTGTTTTTTTTTAAGTAACTCATTCAATAACTATCCACTCCCCAACTCCCCCCCCCCCTCTTGTGCTGACCACACTATCTCTCCAAATGCCGAACTCATAGCCCATATAAACTCTACTTCACCTATCAAATGAATATTTCTTTTTTACTTAACTTTACCACCAGAACGTGAACAGCTTATCAGACATTTGCCTATGCTGTACGACAACAGAGAATCACATATTACCTATGCTGTACGACAGACTGTTGTCCGGATTGTTATCGTTGAAATCGTCGTCATCATCATCGTCAGCCCTGGAGTCTCGCTCGCCCGGGTACATCTTGTTCTCTTTCTTCAGACGCCGGCGTGCGTTGGCGAACCAAGTGCTCACCTACAAGACACGGGGGTGTATGTTAGTGACGTGTTAGGTCTGAGTTGGCTCAGGATGGGTGACCAATTAAATGTCCGAACTGTTAACGTACTGGAACCAGCGTTTCTTCCAGGCATCTCTTCATGCAGCCCCCCCCCCCCCCCTCAGCATGTCCCCCCCCCCCTCCAATGACAATAAATAATTTGTAATTTATGTAGAGAATGTATAACCAGTGCCGCCCCATTACCCCTCCCCACCACCCTCACCAGAAAATTTTAGTGTTCCCCCTCCCCTGAAATTTCAAGTGCTTCTCCCCCCCCCCCCCCCCCCAGAGAAATATATCCGAAAGAAACACTGATTAAAACGTAACCAGATTAATTTAAAAATCAAAGCTGTCTGTCACACTGGCGTTGGTCTATCTTTTCCCCCTCCCCACACCTACTCATCCCAAACCTCACATCTCCTATCCACCCCTCCCCTCCCCCAACCATCTTCCACCACCCACCCCATTACTAAAGTACCTGTCTGTGATCACCACTTTAAACATCCTAGGACCAGCACCCATGCTAGTTAGTCTGTGTAAGACTCTAAGACACCCCCCTCCTCTCCATCCATCCACCCACCCGTATATTCAAGACAGTGTTTCGCTATGCCTTCGCCAACAGACACAAATGTCTGACCTGGGTCAAGGTCATCCTAGTGATGATGGCCAACATGATCTTCTCGGCCTTGGTGGGGTAAGGATTTTTCTTGTGCTCGTTGAGCCAGGCCTTGAGTGGCCCAGTCGTCTCTCTGGTGGCCGCCTTCCTCATTGGGCCATTCACGTCCAGGCCAGGGTACCTGTTAGGGGGGTGGGGGGGGGGGAGACCAAGGGGTAAATTATGAATAATGAGTTTAAGTAGGTAATTTTATGAGGTCATTGCGATAGGTCATTGTGAAGGTCAGTATGTGAGGTTAAGAAAAGGTCATTGGTTTAAACGTGAGGTAACTTGAGGTCAGTAGGTTAGGTCACGTTGGTGGAGGTAAGTGGACACGGTCCATCACTGATGTCACTTGTTGATGTCAGATATCGATGTCAGCCGCTTATGTCACAGGTTGTCATTGCGTTAGAAGTAGACTAATACCAAGTATGGCTTACAAAATGCGGGGTGGTGACACAATTGGCTTATGTATTGCTGAAGTGTGGTGACACAAATTTTAAGACAGCTATAGTGTGGTGAGACAAATGACTTACAGATAGCTGTACTTTAATTAGACAAATGACTTACAGATAACTGTACTTTAATGAGACAAATGACTTACAGATAGCTGCAGTACGGTGAGACAAATGATTTACAGATAGCTGTAATGTGGTGATACAAATGACTTACAGATAGCTGTAGTGTGGTGAGATAAATGACTTACAGATAGCTATATTGGTGAGATAAATGACTTACAGATAGCTATATTGGTGAGATAAATGACTTACAGATAGCTATATTGGTGTGACAAACGACTTACAGATAGCTATATTTTTGAGATAAATGACTTACAGATAGCTGTAGTGGGGTGACACAAACGACGGCTCCAGGGCTATGGACTGCCCTGACAAGCCCGCGCTGACGTAAGAGGACATCCGCTCTGGTCGAATGGCCAGTCCTCGAATCTAGGACAAGAAGGAAACTGATTGCAGAAATCTGTCTTTTAAAACACCGGTTATAATCTCTAAAGTTAGTCATCCATAGCGCCGAGTGAGTAGAGTGATAGAACGTTTGGACCATATTTTTTTTTAAAAGTTCCCTTTTCAAACCTGACGGTCTATAGGGCAAGTGAAGTAGTGTGCACTTGTTTCTGTGACATCGGCATATGAAGAGATAGTGTGGTCAGCACTATGCCCAGCCGCCTTTACTTTTCCTAACGTGAGTTAGGTACCCATCAGAGTTGGGTGGACTCAGGGACGGTCTACTAACTGGAACCCGGATTCGGACTCGCTATGCTAAAATTAAAATCTTTGGGTTTGAATACTAGTCATGTTTCTATGCGCGTACAGCTCTTTTAAGTACTGGGCAGAAGTTGGGAAAGCAGATGCCCTAAATATCGATCAATTTATTCTCGATGATCGGTGTCATGGATATCTGTATATTCGATGACGTATGAAAGATAGGGGCCATCTATGAAATTACAGTTAGAGGCCATCTATGTTATTAACGTAGTTAAGGCAGAGGCCAACTATGTTATTGACGTATGAATAACAAGGGCCATTTATATATTTGACAACAGGGGCCATCTGTACATTTGATGTCAGAGGCCATCTATGTTATTGACGTAGTTAAGACAGAGACCATCTATGTTATTGACGTAGTTAAGACAGAGACCATCTATGTTATTGACGTAGTTAAGACAGAGACCATCTATGTTATTGACGTAGTTAAGACAGAGACCATCTATCGTATTGACGTAGTTAATACAGAGACCATCTATGTTATTGACGTAGTTAAGACAGAGACCATCTATGTTGTTGACGTAGTTAAGACAGAGACCATCTATGTTGTTGACGTAGTTAAGACAGAGACCATCTATGTTGTTGACGTAGTTAAGACAGAGACCATCTATGTTGTTGACGTAGTTAAGACAGTGGCCATCTATGTTATTGACGTAGTTAAGACAGTGGCCATCTATGTTATTGACGTAGTTAAGACAGAGGCCAACTATGTCCGTGACGTAGTTAAGACAGAGACCATCTATGTTGTTGACGTAGTTAAGACAGAGACCATCTATCGTATTGACGTAGTTAAGACAGAGGCCATCTATGTTATTGACGTAGTTAAGAAGCCACCTATTCAACTTATAACGCAATAATAAAAAAACAAGTCGTCTATATGTCTGACGTAGTTCAAACAAATCCCATCAATTTATCTGTTGATGTCAAGCGTACCAAGAGCCCTAGACTAACTACCTATCCCACTTATCCTTAATCCTGCTATCCCCTTAAAAAAAAACCCAGCCTGTCTGTGTATCTGTCCTCTCCTTAATCCCCCCCTCTTCACGACTGCCCGCATGTTGCTAGATTAGACACCCAGATTTGTCTTCCCCTTCTGTTTTCTAATACGTGTCGATAAACATCGACAGTAACTCCAAGCTGACGAAGACATGTTGCCGAAACGTCCGAGAATATTTATTTCAACCTCCATGTTGACATCGGCGGTTAATCCCCGTTAACTTTTTTTTTCTTTTAATCTGGTGTTTAAGTATGCTAATTTATGCATGATTATTATAATGCGTATGTAAATGTACTCACCATTGGCGGACACATGGGGGAGCCGTCGAAACCGATACAGGGGGAGCCTCCGGGGAGGGTCACGTGTTTCCGGGCGTCCGCCCCCATTTGGGAGTGGTGGTAGTGGACGTCGGGGCCGACGCCCAGGTTGCACATGCAGATGTGGCGCCCCGTGGTGGGGTCGGTGATGTAAGCCCGACCCTCTTCACAGAGCAGGGGGGACCCCACGGGCATAGGGGAGGTCTTCTGAAGAGAAAACAATGTGTTAAGTCAGTCAAGGTGAGGACGTGTTTTGTTTTAGATAGAGAGTATAATCAAACTTGATGACTTATATGTTGAGCTAGAGGGTACGTATAACACAACATACGAAAAGGTTAGGTTGACATGTGAATGATTATGCTAGTGTACGGAAACAAGCATACTCCTAGTCGCATTTTTCAGTGATTAACTGCTGCTTTTTAAAAAATAATAATAATAATAAAATAAAATAAAATAAAATAAAATAAAATAAAATAAAATAAAATAAAATAAAATAAATAAAATAAAATAAAATAAAATAAAATAAAATAAAATAAAATAAAATAAAATAAAATAAAATAAAATAAAATAAAATAAAATAAAATAAAATAAAATAAAATAAAATAAAATAAAATAAAATAAAATAAAATAAATGTATTGATAGCAACAGAGTGAACTTTTTTCCATGTACCAATTGTAACTTTTTGTACTTAGAAATGCTACAATATATATTTAACAAAAGTAACTAAACACCGAAGTTAAAATTCAACTTTAAATGGGACACCCTGAATTGTTTTAGCGAGATAACAATTCATAAAATGTATTAAAATGTCTTGTTTTTAAAAAATGGTTTCTATTCTCTCGTTCGGGTAATATTTTTAGCATAGAGTTATTGTTAAAATTATCGTTTAGACAATTTAGTATAGAAGTAGGGTTAAGGTTATAGTTAGACACGGTGTCATAAATAAGTATGGCTAAAAGATTACACAAATAAATAACAAAATATCCATTCCTCTTGCAGTGTCTGAAGGTTATTTTTAAATCCAACGACGCGTCAACATTGCCTTTGACTGGAACCCCAAGGGGAGAGGAAAGTAGGCCTGTCAAAGGAAATCCTGGAGAAGGGAAGTAGAAGGAGAGGCAAGGGCTGCCGGGTTTACGTGGGCGAAACTAAAGAGAGCTGCCCAAAACAGTGTCCGGTGAAGAGGTGCGGCTGCAGCCCTTTGCTCCTCAGGGCATAAATGAATAATAATGAGAAGAGGCCATTGATGTCTAATTGTGGAAAAAAATACATCAAACATATATGAATCGTATTTTAAAATATTTAAAAATGTTTGTGCAAAATTTAACTCGAAATTTTTAATTTTTGAAAATTTAATTGGTTTTGGGTGTGTTTGTGTGAGTGTTTTTTGTATGTGTGGGTGCCCGTGTCTGTGTCTGTGTATATGTGTATGTGGGTATGTGTGCATGTGTGCATGTGTGCATGTGTGCATGTGTGCATGTGTATGTGTATGTGTATGTGTATGTGTATGTGTATGTGTATGTGTATGTGTATGTGTATGTGTATGTGTATGTGTATGTGTATGTGTATGTGTATGTGTATGTGTATGTGTATAAGCATGAGCATGTGCATGTGCATGTGCATGTGTATGTGTGTGTGTGCGTGTGCTTGTGCGTGTGCGGTACGTGTACGTGTACGTGTACGTGCATATGTATGTGCATGTGCATGTGCATGTGCATGTGTATGTGTGTATGGGTGTATGTATGTGTGTGGCACATGTAATATATACTGTCCTCGTCCCATTATAACTGTGGTTGCTGACTTGAAAACGTGACTTTCTGCTCTGAACGGAGCCGATGCCTTCACAAATGGCTGGCAGAAAACACGAGAGCCGTGTAGCACCCGTGGGACCGTACTCACTCGGCGCCCTCAGACAATGCTCGGTTACAACACCCCCACCCCCCTCCCCTTCCTCCCACACAGCCCGTCCGTCAAATACTGGCACCGTACACGACGACCACCGGGCAATTGTTTGACCGAGTTATTGATTGATTGATTGATTTTGGTCCGCTGCCGGCCTGGTCCGTGTGGTGCTGACGTGTGCTCTCTTGTTGGGTCTGCCATAACACAAGATCCAGGGTCAGCAAACCAAACCTTGACGATAACCCAACCCTGGGATAACAACCCAAATCCAGGACAACCCTAGTATAACAACCCCAAGACAACACCAAGACAACAACCCAACCCCAGGACTACCCTAGTACAACAGCCCAACTCCAGGAAATAAACCCAACCACAAGACAACAACCCAACCCCAGGACAACAACCCAACCCCAGGACAACACCTCACCCCCATGAAAACAACCCAACCCTAGGACAACAACCCAACCCCAAGATAACAACCCTACCCAACGACAACAACCCAACCCCAGGACAACAACCCCAGGACAACAACCCACCCCCATGACAACAACCCAACTCAAGGACAACAACCCAACCACAGGAGAACAATCCAACTCCAGGACAACCCTTGGACAACAACCCCAAGACAAAACCCAACCCTAGGACAACAACCCAATCCCCAGGACAACAACCCAACCCCAAGGACAACAACCCAACCGAGGACTACAACCCAACCCCAAGACAACAACCCAATCCCCAGGACAATAACCCAACCCCCAGGACAACCCCCAGGACAACAACCCCGCCGATTATGCTGACACGATCGTGGGAACCCATGTTTGCACCTTATGACCTCGGTCAGCCAATCGGACGACAAATCTACCTGTATGAGTTTATTGTTTCTAGCCTACCCCTCCCCCCTCCCCATCTAACCCAGAACATCAGAGATTAGAAGATTAGGACGCCCCTGTCACTGATCTACAAAACGACATCGGGTTTTCCCCAAACTAATCACAGATAAATATTTTTAAACTGCTACTGTATATAAATCAATTTAAACCTTCTTTCTTTTTTTAACATATAAATTCGATAGCGCAAAAAAAAGACAAAATGATTAATTGAAAACCAATTCTCATTTGTAAGAAAGTAGAAATATATGTTTTTTATGCATGTGCTGTTATACATCAAACTTTAACGAGTAAAGGGGGAACAGTGCGTTAATATAATACAGTATCGTTGTACCGAGGTTAATTTGGTTGTCGATATCTTGGTTAGAGCTTACGACTGCTAACCAGAAAGTCACGAGTTCGGATCCCGGGCTCGAGTCTGCAGCAAGCCCCTGAGTCCACTCAGCTCTAATGGGTACCTGACTCGCATTAGGGAAATTATAGGCTGTGGGGGATAGAACTGACCGTAGTATACGAGTAGTATATTAGGTCCCTTTTGGAGCGAAGGCGCAGGCGCAGGCGCTGGGTGAGCAGGAGCAGGAGCAGGAGCAGGAGCAAAGGATATATAGGAAAATACTCGGATGCGGATGGACAACGAGATATAGTAAAATACTCACCCACCTGGGTGGAGTGGGTGATGCGGATGGACAACGGGATATAGTAAAATACTCCCTGGGGGAGCAGGAGGTACACCGACATATAGTAAAATACTCACCCACCTGGGTGAAGGTGGGTGAGGGTGGGGGAGCAGGATGGACAATGACATATAGTAAAATACTCACCCACCTGGGTGAGCAGGTGGGTGAGGGTGGGTGAGCAGGATGGACAATGAGATATAGTAAAATACTCACCCACCCTAGGGTGGGTGAGCAGGAGGGGGAGTAGGTCAGTAGGTCACCACCGGTGACCTTGTGACGTAATCAGTGACCTTGTGACGTAATCAGGGACAATATGACGTAATCATTGACCTAGTTACGTAATTTTAATGCGTTTTTTAATTAGTTTGAATTTAATTTTTAAATTTTAATTAGTTTTTAATTAGTTACGTAATTTAATTACTTTGATTGTATTTTTATTTTGTTTAATTTGTTTGTTTACTTGTTGTTTAATTTAATTACTTTGTTTATATTGTGTAATTTTTTGACCTAGTTACGTAATTTTATTATTTGTTTACTTTTTTAATTATTTTTATTTTGTTTATTTTTAATTTAATTTTATAATTAGTTTGAATTCAATTTAATTACTTTGTTTATATTGTGTAATTTTTTATTGACTAGTTACGTAATTGGATTTTAATTTTTAAATTTTTAAATTTAAATTTTAAATTTTAATTGATTTTAATTACTTTGTATTTTGTTTGTTTATTTTGTTTGTTTACTTGTTATTTAATTTGATTACTTTGTTTATATTGTGTAATTTTTATTAACGAGTTACGTAATTTGATTATTTGTTTACTTTTTAATTATTTTTATTTTGTTTATTTTTAATTTTATTTTATTTTATAATTAGTTAAATTATTATTAACTAGTTACGTAATTTGATTTTAATTACTTTGTTTAATTTATTTATTTGATATATTTCTTTTCTTTGTTGTTTAATTTGTTGGTTTGTTTATTTGGTTGTATGTATGTTTTAAATTCTCCCCTACAACGACCGTGTACAAAAAAACAGGTTAAATTCTCCGCCACAACGAACGTTACAAACATAGAACATTCATTAAAGAGAACGATTAACAACACCTGTTACTCGCTAATGGCACCCGGCACGTATCGATCCGCAATCCTTTGTTCTTATCAAGCACCGTACAAGGGCCAAGTTCATATCGATCGCACCCACGGGCCATCACACCTAATTAATTTTGTTATGCATCGTGGGTTTTTCCCCACTCGGTTTGATAGGTCATGATGATTTATGTGGGTTCGCGAAGCGATCCCACCGGGGGGTATGGTAATTAACGACGTACATTAAGTGGCTTTCGGCGAAGCCAGCGTTAAGTGTGGCGACAGATGTTACCACGTTAATTGATTTTTTTCCCCCCGGTTGGATCCCGTGCTTTTCACTAACAGTTATACGGACAGTATCATAGGTTTTTGGTTTTCACCGAGGCAATGTTTTGTTGTTGGTTGGTGTAGAGTTTATACGAGGGTCGGTGAAGTTTTCACCGAGGTTGGGTTTTGAACTCGGACCATGCATGTTTAGGAGTTGGATGTGGTAGAGTTTACACTAGGGACGGATGTGTTAATCTTGATTCCACCCACGGGCCATCAGTAGGATGGTCCACCTATGTGTAATTTTTATTAACGAGTCACGTAATTTGATTTTAATTTTTTAAATTTTTAAATTTTTAATTTAATTTTATAATTAGTTTAATTATTATT